TTTATTTTGTGCTAGGAATATCAGCACTATGTTTTTCCCTCTCTCCTTATGTTCCTCTAGACTCCTTCAGACAAGAAACCATTCCGACGAGATAACATTAAAATTGAGTGAACTTGACACAAAAACTTGCTCATCCTCAGGCAGACTCATATTCCAGCAGTTGTCCATCCCTGTAACTCGTCATCCTCTAATCCAAAGTTTAAATGTGTTAGAGGGGGAATCTTTTCTATCACAGCAAGTATATTCCAAAATCAAGCATCTATCACAGTAATTGCCAGGTCCATCCTTGCATTCAGGTAATGGCGTTTCAGCTGAAGACACCAGCTCCTCCTAACCACAGCAGAGGCCCTGTATGAGAAGTTGCCTTACATATTCATGCTATGTCTTTTAAACACTTTGCAAGTTGGCACCATTAGCTTCTGCCAGAAGACACGTCCGGGTCACGCCACAGCAGTTGCACAGCTGAGGCGTTCACCGAATCTCAGTCGATCAGGAACATGATGTCCGATCCCAGGCAAAGCTCCCTTCGCTGCTTGCTCCAAACCCACGCCGAGGGCTTGATGGGATGGCTTGCACCCAGTGCTTTGGAGTGGTGGCTTTGCTCTCTGCTTGTCACTATAGGCACACAAGGCAAGCAAAAGAAATGTTTTGTTTTTAGGGCACCCAATCACTCCTTGAAGAAGGCACGTGCATTTAGGATAAAGCTCTTATGGAAGGCACCTTTATTATTTTCTTCAAGTTTGGCAAATATGTACATATCCTACAAAAATATGTTTGAAACAAATCTTAAAATCAGTAAATGAATTCAAGGTTTGGGTTTTGTTCTTTGAATCACAGATTTAATGTGATTTAGTAACTTGATGGATAGCTACAGTCAGCGGAGGTGGAGGAAATATACTCTCCATGAACTCAGCAAGAAGGAACTCAATGAATCCGGCTTCATGCAGTGTTTCAAGAGCACCATCTTGTGGTTTTCCTTTTCCAGAACATATTTTGTTTTTTCAAATCTCTACACTACAGCATAATTTCCTCAAAAGGCCCTTGGCTTTTAGGAGTAGATATTTTGGGAGGTGGTGACAGAATTCTTACCACAATCTTAGCCCAGATCCTTTTTTTAAACTCTGTGAGTCAGGGCAGACTTTATATTTTAACCAGTAAGTATTCTGAGGTTTTTGAGAGTGATAGCTGCCAGAACTTTGATTTTTAAACTTTTTTTTGTCACACAAAACATTCAAGATGCTAAAATGTCTCTTCTTTGCCATGAAGCCTTTGGCTAGTGACAGCACAGCTGACACGTGCTGCATCTTTGCCACATGTCAGCTTCCGAGGTGAGCAGCTAGGCTGTGTGCTGTGCTAAGGCACCAGCAGTGGCAAAGTTGAAGAGGATTTTTTTCCAGTTTGGTTCTTCTGTGTCCCACCGTCCTCAAAGCACAAAGGCTGCTGCTGGAGGATAAATTACACTGATAAGTTCAGACAAACTCATCCTTGTTTTTACAAGTGATTACATCATCAAGTTAATCATCATTATCTGACACTTTGCTCCAGCTTCTCTGGTTGCAGTGATGGGACAGCTGAGCTCGCCTTTACTGCTTTGCAGAAAGACATAGGCATCTCGAGCAGCTCCTTGTGCTTTTCAGGACAGCATCATAAGTGCAAGAGAGTAGAGTTGTACCATGTGGATATTCAATATTGATTTCAGAAAGTCCTAAACCCCTGCCTCTGCCCACCTCCCAGCTACGGTCAGGATGAAGTTAAGGAATATTCTGGCTCCATAGTTGTTCAGGCCAGGGGGAACAGCTGCTAGCCACGGCAATTTACAGAGCAGAGAAACATCCCGCCCTTCCTCACCATGCAGAGCCATGCCTAGAGATAAGCAAATAACTGAGAAATCCATACTCTGTTACACCAGCCAGGCAGGGGACCATCAGCCTGCAGGTATTTATCACCCTCTGCAGATCTGAAAGGCATATGTAATGTGGGTAAGAAGCTTATCAGGTTCCTGCAATGTCACTGGGGCTGCCAATTGTTGAGTCTGAAAGTGGTTTTGACAATGCGGTAGTAGTTGGGGATTACTCATCTCCACACGGCAAGTGCTATGCTCTTGCTCTAGGTATGACTCTCACATTGATTACATATCAAAGTCAGGTTCAAGATAGGCTCAGCACAGACATTAACAACAATCTGCATTTAATACCTTGTTCCCACCTTTGGCACATAAATCAGTCTCCTCAGCACTGTTTGGGGCACCTGCTAGTACTGACATCCAAATGCCCTCACCCTCTATAAGGAGCCACGTTCTTGCTCAGCAGTAGATGCCAGCACGCCTGGGTGGGGGGCACTGATTGTCCACCATTTTTTTCTGCAGTACACTGCTCACTGAAGCAATTTGTGAGGAGACCAACAATCACGTGGCTTTCAGTAAGATGCGTAGTTTTTATACAGGTCCAGTGCTGTGTGTTGGGCAAAGTTTCAACTGTTGGGCAAGATTACCATAAAGGAAGAAATAGCTGTGGCCACTCCAGATCCCCATGCTTCTCTTTAGAAATTTTGCATAAGAAAATTGCAAGCATTTGTAACAGGTCAAGGTCCTTAAGGAGCTGTCATCCACCTGTCACAGGCTGCAATCTTAAACGTCTATTCTGATTATTAACACTAAAGCTGGTAGGCAAGGGTCTGAGGGTCAGAATAAGACAAAAATGGAGCAAAGAAACAGCCACAATGGTTTGTAGTGGACCCATTACAGCTCAGCCAAAGCTTCACTAGAAGTTAAGTAATCTGACCTTTCCAACAAGGTTTCAGGTAGAAAGTAGTTGCCTCTTATCACTCAGAAGTTAGTGAAAAAAATGTGTTTCTTCATGTTGGCGTGTCTCTAGTTGCAACCACCAAAGCCATGTAGTCCAATTCTTCCCTCTTACCTGGAGGTAACAACGATTTTTCCTCAAAATTCTGCATGAACAAGCAATGTGTTTAAACAACAGATAAATTTTCACAGGCTAAAAAAACCTGTTCTTCATTCTGTGTAGAAATTGTTAAGCCTACCAGAAAATGGATACAGTTCTCCTTAGCAAACTTAAAACTTGAAAAGATAAATCTGTTAAGTTTGTAACTAACTTCCACATTCAGCTCCAAAACAGACACACAAATTTTAACTCAAGATGTATCATGTTCTGCAACATCAGTCTGAGGGTTGATGCTTGTGCCACATTTCTCAAAATCAATGTACATGAAAGGGCAGTTTTGTACAGAGGACATGAATATATCCATGCTCTATAGGATACAGGAATTTCAGCAAGCCAACGAAAATTTTGTAACAAACTTTTGCTTATAACATTTCTTACCTATCTGTGCTCAGCCTACAGCCTACTAATGGTCTCACCGTGGTTGCATGCATATCATGCCCCTGACCATTGCCTTTTCCACATCTCACAAACAATACTGGAGACACTAATATCCAGTTGTTGAGGGGTGTTACTTCCTATACAAACAGCATTCTTCTGGACTTTAGCACAGGACTCTTTGGCAAAGGTAGTATGATCTAAATACCAGAATGAGGTAGAATAGAATGGAAAACTTCTACCTTTCATTCTCAGATCTTGAGCATATCCGTAAGTGGACTTAAATAGACCAAAGATTTACAGAATGCAAGTGCTTGATAAAATAAGAGGCTGGCTGAGTTATAAGTCTCAGATTTAGGTTAGGAGATAAAGTCTGCCACATAAAAGCAGAATACTAGAGGTTCTGCTCAGCTGTTCACAAATGGAGAATTAATAAGTACAAGAAAAGTTGCCATGCAGTATATAACTGCTGTCCCAGTTCAAGGAGCAGGACCTGCAATGCTGCCTTCCCAGTCTGTTATTTACTTACTAACTGGAAAAAAACCACACCCAAACCCCAGACATTTCCAGAAAGTGATCAGTGCTTTTCTTGAAAGCTTGCTTTTCTTTGCTGTGGAATCACAAGGACTTTACTGACAGCAAGCCAGTTCTGCAACAGCAGCATAAATTTAAGCAATAATAAAAAAATTCATTTAATGCATTGGTTCAGAAACTATCGGCAATTACTGCTAAGAGCCTTTAGGTAAGCTGCAGGAATACAGCATAAGAATGAATTCAGTAAGTTTTACACAAAACCAGGAGATTTGCTCTTTGTTAAATCAAGGTTTTTAAGAAAAACATACTAAAAAGCATGAGAAACGATCATGAAAAGTAATCTTTTAAGATGGTAAATAGGAAGTCCAGATTTGCCAACCAAGTTGTTGAGAACAGTAATTTATTTTCACATTTACAAGACAAACATGAATAATATTTAAAGTAATATTTACAAATATATACAAATATTAAAAAATTATCTTCTCATTTGGAAAAAAATGGCAATTAAATGTTTTTTTTAGCAGTATAGCCAAGATACAGTACTTTTTTTTTAACTGGAAAGGGTATCATCTCAGTTCAAGGAAAACCTGCAGTTTCTAAATGAAGAAATTAAGGAAGAGTAACAATTTAAGATTCAACATAAGCTAAACCATCAGAGAAAATGGTATTATGAGCTTTCACATTTTAAAACTAAGGCAAAGCGCCTTAAAAAAATCGTAAAATCTAGACTTCCTCATAATTTTATGTTAAAAGGGACTTCACTCACCTCACTTGACATTCTCACTATAAATGCTTTTAAAAGACTTTTGAACAGAAGTAAACATTTAAATAAAACAGAGTTTACACTTCCCCCTTCTGGTATCCAAGAATTGCTAGGGTTACACGTGGAAGGCTACTTGCCAAAACATTTTGTTTTGTTCAGTATTATCGTGGGGTTTTGAGACCAGGAACATGGTAGACAAATTGTCAGAAACAATTTCTAAAATGTTATTAGAATCCCTATCCAGAATTTTCCCTTATAATTTATAGATTAGTAAGACTTTTTAAAATGGATATTTGTGATGATTCTAGAAATTTCATCACAACCAAATAGTACAGAGGAATAATAAAATTAACCCTTTTTTAATATAGAATAGCAGAAAGCATTTTCTTGTTTAATTTTCTTTGTCGATAACTCCGTATCCTAAAAAAACCCTCTTATTATGGACATCTAACAATTTGTGTTGGGATGGATGGATCACAATCGCCGTAGATTCTGTTTGCTTTTCTTAGTCCCAGGAACCGGCCCCAGCTTAGAGTTGGGTTTCACTGGTTTGCCGCTCATACAGTCACTGGAACTGTGGTAGCTGCACATGCACTTTGTGCAAAAGTCAAAGCCACAACTTTCACGATTGCACATTGCTCTTTGTAGATAGGAGTCATACTTTGCAGGTGAGCCACAGCGATGGCAGACTTTAAGGCTTTCAGTGTTTCTCAAGGTCTTGGCAGCCTGTTGGAAAAGAAAAAGCATATAAAGAAAATCATGAGTGGAAGGTAAATACCAAACATTCCCCAATGTTATCCAAGTGCCACAAAACCTCTTATTACTTCTTCTACTCTAAAGAGATAAATTATAAATTTAGCTTAATTCTGGTTGTATCATTCTGATAGAGATTGAAGAGGAATAATCAGTCTATAACTGCATTGGACTAGAATAGAGGTAGCCAATTTAAAATTCTTTAAATTTAAAATTTAAAGGACAGACAGACTAAATGCAAGGCAGTAAGAAAGATAGCCCTCCTGAATCCTCCAAACCTCATCCAAGGATGGAGATTTAGTTAACTTTAATTTAAAAAAAAGAAAATACATCTGAATTCCATTGGAATCATTAACATCTTTTAAAAGTGACCAATGTGTCCAGAAACATCAGCTGTGGGGTGCTCTACTTGAGACACCAAATCGAAGCAATTTCTACTTCTCTCCAATGAATTAATGGGACACAAAACCAGATCCACCATTTTAAATCATTCAGCATTAGAAAATTATAGATGTGTATAACATTATATCACTCGACTGTTAAAAGCAAAATGTTTTTATAATCTAAATGTGTGGGTACAGACTTCTAAGCTTGAGTATAAAAAACATTTTCTAGTTAGGAAAGTCTATTGCTTATTAACGAGACTCTTGCAATGTAGACTTGCGCATATATGCGCAAAAACAAAAGTTAAACAACAAGGTAAAAGGAAACAGGCTTGTTAGCAGTTGTTGACAACTCCAAATGTGTGACATACAACAAATATGTCGTTAAAAACCTCATTTCAATGTCAGATCATTAGTTGAAAAAGAAGCATAGAATGAATGGGAGAATCAATTTGTTTCATTTTTTAAAAAATTAAAGCTGCTTAGTCTCTGGTCTTTAATAAAAAATTGTCCATCAGTGTTGAAGCAAAATTAATAGCTTTTGTGGGGCCGCTTATATGGAAAACCTGTGATTCATTATAAGCCCATAGAAGCTAAAAGGAAATTACTAAACATTTTCATGTCTCATTCAAGCCAAAGTTTAAGCCAAAAGAATACCACTAATCCATTTTAAAGGTACCTAGACACCTGGGGGAAAAGACAGAGAACAATCTAGTTGTATTAATATTCTCCACTTAGTTTCTGACATTGTCTTAAAATAGGCTCAATAAGCAAAATCTGGCGGTCATACAAATAAGTCACTTCAAATTGGAGATACTACTTTTAGAAATATTCTTTACGAACTGTGTGCCAGACAACGTGTGAGAAATTAAAGATGAATGGAAATCACCAGTTACCTCAGAAAACTCCATGAGCCTGCTGTGACTCTTAGATGCTTTGGATTTGGCGCCTTTTTTACTCAAGTTTTTTGGTGGGATTGCTTTTTGAATGGAAGCTAAAGCCGCTCGGTAGAGAACATACTCCCTTGTTGCAGCATGTTCTGGTGCCTTAGTGCCATTCTAGTGAAAAGAAAAACAAGAATAAAATTTGAGAAAAGACTTATCTGATACCAACTTTTTGTTTAATAGAAGTCAACAACTTATTTTTGATCCATCCTCCTGGCTAGGTTTCCAATAATAAAGCATCATACCAAGTAGTATGTTAATTTTACCTTAGTTTTTTCCTTCACTACTGTTATAAATGCGTAGAACAGAACCCTAGTTCAGACCATCAAAACCAACCATCTTTTATTATATAATGCAACTTATTTTCATATTTATACATAATTATTTAGGCAGAGCATATAACCTAGTCATTGCAATGTTTTAAAGCACAAAGCAATATTTCAACTGTTTACAGTGAATAAGGATGCTTGAAGTTTTCTTTCTGAGAAGTAAACTCCTCCCACCAGTTTTCTAAGTTTGTATACAGGTTGAAAAAAAAGCATACAATGGTAGAGAGGAAATCAAACTTTATGGCATGAATGTTCAATGGTGTCTAACTGTCCCAAGAGGCTAGCACCACAAAATACTAGACAAAATTCAAACCAGCCAACTACCTTATCCTGTGGCAGATCCTAAGCCTTGCTTCATTGTCTCTCAAGGCAAAACACACTCCTAGTGTTTTAAGGGTCCTGCCTCAGTAAAGTGCAATGCTAGTGTGGCTGGATCGTGTATCTTTTTATTTCATAGTACAGATAGGCATTAGAAGTAGCTCATAGTGCAAAAAGCTTTTCAGTTTTCTGTAGCCAATGTGTTGCACTTCAGATTGTGGGTAGAGAGTATATAGAGAGAACCTGAGTCACACAGTCGGCCGAGTGGTTTCTCTCTGTCTCTCTCCCTTCTGCACTGCTGAGAAAGCCTCTAGGGCTTGTCCAGCAGGCCAGGCTGGGACTGACCCTCTCCTTCCTGTCTCTGACACAGGACATGTGGAAGCTCTCAAGAGCATCTGCATCTCTCCTTGGGTAACCTTCTCAGTCAACCTTCCTTGGGCTCCAAAGACAGTCTACGCACTAAGTGACCAGCAACACTTGAGACGGGGCATCCTAACAGGACAAACCAAGACACTCCAGTGACAATGTTTTCAATCTAAGAAACTCCACTGCAACGTCTTAAGGCTGGGAGGAGCCCTGAAATAGCAGAAAGACACTGCTGGTTTAGACGTGAAATATCCAACAAGTGTGGAAACTTACAGAAAGGTTTTTCACAGCTTTACTATACATTTGGAAAATCCATTTATCTTCTTGTAGAATCTTCTGCCATGTTGTGCTGACTTTAGCAAAACTGCAACGACAATACAAGCATATCAGTTACCTCCTTCGAAAGGGAAAAACGTTTTATTTAATAGTAAGCATAACCATGCAGTCTTTCTTTCATGTAGAAGATAGGATATGTTCACTGTTGTAGTCTTTAATTTGCCTTCTAGGGAAAAGACACATTGTCCATATATATCACAGCTTACATCAACAGTTCATGTTTTAATTTATTAATACATAATACTAAGCATTGTCTTTATCATTGTCTTTATCAATGTCTAACTTTGCAGTTATCAATGTCTAAAACATTTGTAAGCCATCTGATTAGGTTGTTTACTGTCCCAATTAAATACAATGAGATCAATATACTTACTTTATTAAATCCATCTCATCAAGATGCCTTAAGATGTTTGCTAATATATGCTTCAGGTTCTTTTGGAAGAGTTCAGCAAGAATGTCTATTCTATCTAATCCCATTTTCTTTCCAATTAGGTTACAAAGTTCAACCTTTCCTCTAAAAAGAATTCTGTCTACTGCAGCCCAAGACTTGAGATTTCTTTTACCACTTTTTTTCAAAGTTGAGCAAATCATTTCTTCATAATGGATTACTGGCAACAAAGTCTTCTTTGAAAACTGTGCTTGGTTTTGGTTCTTCATGAGACAATGCTTTGGTGTGCCACAGAGATTCCCAGCCAAAGGTATACTATCCTCATGTTCTATTGCATCAGTATATTGATTACTTAACATAGAGGAATAACCACTGTCCTCATTAAATTTACTGTTTTCCAGTGCCTCCATTTCATAGATACCTTCATCAAGCCTATGGGTTACTTGTTTGTTTTCTTTGTTGTGTACAGGTCTTCCTTCATCTTCAAGATCTAGATTTCTGGTGGCCGCATGGTATGAGTCACTAAGGAGTATCTTCTGATGTTCTTCAGCACAGCTTTTACAAAAGTCTTCCTCATAATTCAAGGGACAGGATTCTTCCAGTCTTGTTTTCTCCACAGTAGACTTCAATGGTGCAAACCCAGCGCGAAGAGGCGTACAATCAAGATCACATTTCATTTTGAGGGAGTGGTTAAGGTTTGATTTCATTATTTTGTTTGTATCCTGCAAGAAACAACAAGGACAGTATTACAACACAGCATAAACTGCATCATAGATTCTTTTTCATATAAAGAGCCTTCCTTCCACATTATGAATTGTAAGCTTTTATCTATCACACCCTCTAATGTCTGTAACACAAACAACTAGATGGAACTAAGGATTTGATCAGCGACACATTAAATCTACGTGAGATCTTCTCAAAATTAGAGCTTTATGCTGCATATAACTGGGGTGAAAAAACCAACTGGATGATTTACTTTGTGACCCTTCCACCAGTATAGATTACTTTTAGACACACCAACGCCACCACTTCCTACCCTAAATACAGTGATACACTTGGGACACTCGTGGTCCCCTGCTGAGGACACCAGTGGCAGAGGGTCTGTGAGTGCCAGCAGGTGGGTGCAGGGGTATAGCCATGCCAGAGCAGCCTGAAGTTTGCATCCAAGGCCAGAGGCAACGCTGCTGATGCAGCCAGGTATCTGTGGCATTTTTAAAAGAGGAGAAGGCTGGGTGGCACAGGAAAAGCGTGAGTGCTCACATGCATGGGCAAGTTACAATGGCAAGCAGTGACCCTTAAACAATGGTCAAAGTGAAATGAAGGTTACTTACAAGCATGATTTTCAAAGGGTGGGAGGTCAATAGATATTATAAGGAAGTTAAGCTTTTCTTGCCCTGTTTCTTTCCCCTCCCCCCCCAAGTGTGGTGCTATCTATAGTAACAATTGCAGGGGGATGGGCTAGGGCTGAAGGGGAGAAGGAAGCCATCTCTGAAGTGTTAAATCTAAGGGGAAAATAATTTTCAACATGCTTTGCAATTCCTATGAAAAATAAGCTCCCCCATTTGAGCATGTATTTTAAGGGATTTAAGCACTTTGCTTTAGCAGTTTCAGTAAAAAGTATTGAAGAAATGTATTTCATGAACGTTTCAGAGAGTAAGTCCCTTCTTCGTACCTACGTTTGGTGGAAGAAAGGAGCAAATGCGCTTATGGCTTTGTACAGAGTGAATTGCGGGAGAGACGCAAGCCCTCCCGCTAAGCCTCCTCCGCCCCTTCCCCCCTCGCTTGCGCGCCGCCAAAGCAGAGAAGCTTTTGGGCTGAAACCCAGCAGAACTAGGAAATGTCCCCCCCCCG